AAATCTGCACTTCAAGGTCTACAAAGTGTTGCACCTGCCACGAAATCCGCACTTCAAGGTCCACACAGTACCACACCTGCCACGACATATGCACTTCGGGGTCCACGAAGTACTGCGCCTGCCACGAACTCTGCACTTCAAGGTCCACAAACCATCGCGCCGCCCACAAAATTTGCACTTCAAGGTCCACAAAATACAGCGCTTGCTACGAAATCTACACTTCAAGGTCCTTCAAAATATTACACCTGCCACCAAATTTACACTTCAACACAAAGTACTGCACCTGCCACGAAATCTGCACTTCAAGGTCTACAAAGCACTGCGCCTGCCACGAACTCTGCACTTCAGGCCACAAAGTACTGCGCCTGCCACGAAATTTGCACTTCAAGGCCTACAACATACTGCGCCTGCCAAAAAAAAACACTTCAAGGTCCACAAAGCACCGCACCTGCCACAATGTGCACTTCGAGGTCCACAAAGCACGGCGCCTGCCACGAAATCTGCACTTCAAGGTCCACAAAAATATTGCATTTGCAACGAAATTTGCACTTCAAGGTCCACAAAGTACTGCGCCTGCCACGAAACCTGCACTTCAAGGTCCACAAAGTACTGCGCCTGGCCAACAAAGCATTGCACCTGCCACGATTTCCGAAAACGAGCCACATTTCGTCTCCACCTTCGCCTCCAGCACCTCGACGCGCACGGCCCCCCGTGACCCTATGGACATCAAATCGCTCCATCCAGCCACCATACTGGCACAGCCAGCTGGCCCACCCACGCTGGCATCAGTGCCCCCTGGTCACGAGCTGCCGCCGCTTGAGGCAGCCCCAAAATGCAGTCTGTCAACTCTCTGCAAGCATACCGAGCGGGCGGAGTGCGGCTTTTGTCCGTGCCCATCTTCGTATTTTATCAAATACATGTACCGAGCGTCATTCCTGTCGGAATGGCGCTGTCTTCGGCGTCTTAACCCGAGCCAGGTTGTCGCCCTAAACCACAAAAATTGAAAACGAGCCACATGTCCAAATGTCATGGTTCACAACAACTGCCACAAAAAGTACAAGGCTTCCCTCGCACCCGCCACGAAAAGTGTCCACCAAATCCAAAAGTGCGCACGGCGACAAAACGAGAGCGCGCCTCCGTCAAGCGCAGTCCCGCGGCCTGTGTTTCACGAGACCCTGTGCAGAGAAATTGCAAATTGGAATTTTTTCTGCGCAGCCAAAACGCACGGGGCCAGAAAGCGCACCCTGATCGAACCCGGTCTTTTACGCCTACTGCAAGAACCCCTCAGCATCACCTCTGTCCCCTCTTTGAAACAAACCTTTCTTCCTCCTTGCCTCAAAGGTGAGACGAGCAGGAGATTCAACACCTAATCAAGGCACAAAGCAACGGCACCAAACCGTGCAAGACTCATCCTCATGGATTGAAAAGTTTTTGTCGCAATTATGCGAACGGTGCGCAAAGAGATTAGATGGCAGCCGCCTGGCTGCATTCAGGCCGATCACCAGACATGGTCGCGCAACGAAGCCAGCAATGCGGGACGAGAACACCACTACACGCTACACACACGGAGTCTGCGTGTTGAGAGCCCCTGCAAAAAGATCATTCTTCCGTCGATGTCTGAAAAAAGCTTGTCTTCTGAGAAGAAGTTTGTCTGAAAAAGATTGTCTTCTGAGAAGAAGTTGAATCTTCTAAAGTGCGCACAGCAGCATCATCTCCGAACAAGGTGGCCCACAATCATCTCTTGGGGTGGTGTGAGAAATCCATTCGATTCTGTTTTAGAGCAGTGGGTGGGCAGAAGCAGATCTTACGCGTAGGCCAGCTGTTCAGTCAATAATAAGCCACTTGCGAGGGAGGGTCGGGGATAATCGTACGCAGTGTATAACCCTCCGACATTCCCGAGCTCACGTGCATGTCTTGCCTTTCGTCTCCACGCAATTTCTTGGCTAACTAACTGAACTTCAGAGGCTCATTTCTACACAGAAATTGGCAGCGCCGCGAAAGTCCACGCATTGACCAGTGAGAGTATATATTGACCACTGCAAAAATAGCAAATCTCCCTTTTCAACATTGCAATATGTAAGCCGCTCCTTTTGTTTCCCGCGCAGACAATGGTTTTGAGTTCGAAAGCTTCGAGTCACAGCGTAGCTGAGAAGCTCATTGCCAATTTGGCAGCTCGTTGAGCTTGTGTTTGAAGATGTAGTCACGAACCTTGGGAGAGCAAGAAACTTCTTGGGCGTGAATCATGATTTTAAAGTACTGCCTGTACCTGTACGAAAAACCCCTTGGCGCAATGAACAAGACCCGGCGTAAACAAGCCGCGAGACACCTGAAAGGTAAGCAATTTCATAGCATTCCGAATGCGCTAAACTGAGCATACCTAGTGAAGAATCACCGCTTGACCGACTTGACGCGCTTGACCCACCCATCCCAGCCTTGTCGTGCACAAGGTAGCGAATGCTTTGATTCGAAGCCAAATATTGCCGGACCACACTGGAACTGATGCCTCGCACTCTCAAAGAAGCGCAAAGCTTATTGTAAAAAGTGACTCTAATTCCCTTGAGCCATCCCTGGCCCTAGCAATTTCGCGGGGTTTGTGTTCATGATGAAGACAACATGGAATGTGCAAAAAACAGGCTCAATCACTTGAAGCCCCGCCCCGAAAACACAGCACAAGTCGTTGCATCCCCAGGGCCACACACTTTGCACGCACAAAGGCAAAAATTCAAGGAGAATTTCATATGATATATATATAAAATACGTTAATATATTTTTTAAATTGTTTTAATTATCAGACTATCCAAGACTGACGTCTCGTTTTAGCGAGCGTTGGCAAAGTTTGATTTCCCCGGCGCCGGTTTTTCTAAAGGTTGAAATTTCACTTGCAAATCCTGGGGCATTGATGAGATGGCAGGATCTGATACTGATGATGCCGCTCCCCCTCTCCCTCCACCGGATCCAACAACCCTTGCTTCCATGCCCCGAATCCCCCCAATCGCTACAACCAGGACTGGCGCAATTGGTACAGCGTCGAGAACTACTGCGGCTTGAGTCGCGCACCCCACCCCTTCGAAGAGTGGAAATGTCGCTCACCTGGAGATCAACACCATTGGTTCTTTCGCAGCTGGTTTTTCAGGACTATTCCCCACACTCACAACTTGCTCCTCTACTACAAACACTGCGTCGATCAGCATCCTGACTCTTGCGGCTTAGACGTGGTATTACCGTGTTTGGACCACTCATGGTTGGCAATTCGTCCTTACCGCCATGGCTACTGAACCCATTTGGCAACTCTTCGACAACTATGAGACTACTTCTGCGGCACAACAGGCTGCCATGGATCATCTTCCCCAGGGCACCAAGCGTCACTGACGCTCTTGAATGCCATTCCTTGGTTCAACGCCTCTCGGACTGTGAATTTCTGGGAATCCCACCCTTCGCGGCCTGACACCACAGGATCAACAGCGCGTTATTGGTTCGTTGATTCATCAACTTATCAGCATCCATTGGATACCAGGTCGAAGTAGAAACACTCCATAGGTTCTGATGGAGCGCGCCGCGATGTCCGGCGGCGTAAACCGTGTTGGGGTCGCGGCGGTGGCGGCGTGTGGTGGGTAGAGTGGGTGACGGGTCGGAAGGAGAGGAAGAGGGGTGAAAGAACAGTGGAGAAGAAGGTACAGGGACAGCAGCCGCAGTGTCTGTCGAAGGCCCGGCCGCTTGTGAAGGTTCATACCGTGGCGCCGATAGCGCCGGAGCCAAAGTGGTGCCAGCGGTCCACCTCCGCCACATCCAGCACCACAACCTCTCTTTCCACCGCTACCTCCGATGCCAATTGCAGCCCTTAGCGATGCCCAAAGGACTACTTTGGCTGAAGCCATAACGAGGCAGCTTTACACCCTGTTTCACTTTCATGCTACAGACGAAGCCACCTAGCCACAAAACATTCGGCATTTATCTTTCCGAATTTTGGATCAGGACCTGTACGCTTGCGTAATAACTGTGTTCACTTTTCCACTTGATTTTTCGCTTGACACATTTCTTGCAGTTTCATGCGTTCCTCGTCACACCACCGCTATACTCCGCAGCCATTTTCACAGCCTTCACGCGCGCACCACCTCCTTCTTGATTTGCCACCGCCATGAGCGCACCAATTCCCACAGATGAAGGCATTTCAACCAGCTTCTGGCACTGGGCGTACAACAACCGCCCAGGCTCCTTACTGGCTGTACTCACCGACGTCGGTGTGCAGCGATTCCAGTCGACTACGGTGCTCCACAGTTTCACCACATTGCGCGAAACACCTATGTGGCGCGACGGCTTCCGGGACCAACTTCCACACCCGGTTGTCGATTTAGTCAACAACTATCGGCAACATCTGACCAATGCCGAGACCCACGCTCCAATCACCGACCCCACCATTGACCCCAACACTCAGCCACCAGAACCGCCCTTCCACCCGATTCTTCCACCTGGCCGTGGCTTATACCGTCTTTTCCCACCTACGTCACTCCCACGCAACACAATTCTACCCAAACTTCTTACCTCCCACCACTTCTACTCCATTCCGTCGCTGCCACTCAGACGGCCCAATCCCACCTCACACCGCCGATCACCCACGATATCAAACTGATCTCCACATTCCATATGTAGTGTCGCCCAGGGCACGTTCCTCAAGTCAGGCGAATACAGCGGGGTATACAAGCAAATTTGCCTAAGATTTTGACCCCAAATGCAGCTAAGAGGCTGCTTTCTTTCTTCTTCCATCCAACTTCCAGCTGGAGTGCGCACACCCGCCGCTCCAGACTCGCAACCTTCCAGTCTAAATGCTTCCGCTTGGGAAGGGGGCATGTTTTGTTATAGCGCCAACCCTATCGGGGAGGAACCTTTTGGCGGCACGGTCCATCTGTTCGGGAACCCTAGCGGTGGAAAAGATAAATGTGGTATCGAGCCCCTGTTGGAAATATGAGGGCGGCGTGGCTTGCTTTGAAGACCCCGCGGTCTAATCAAGTTTTAGGCCACCATTCTAGGAATGCGCCAAAAGCGCCTTCCCACCACAAGTTCTCCAAGTCTCTGCCTCCGTCTCGAGGCTGTTAGTCATGCCTTTCGACCTGCGCACGCCACTTGCAGCAAAACAACCGCAGAGGCACCCTCCGAAGAAAAAACAAGTTTTCGAAAAACGTTGCAGATCGACCTTCAACGCCGTCACCAAAACTTTCGTATTGCAGAGTGCTCCGCTTCAACAATGCACATGTGTGGACTTTCATCCTATTTGTATTTCTTTCTGTTCTGATCCTTCTCCTTTCCAACCGTTCGAAGGTTTGCCTGGTCGTCAGTTCCTGCAATCTCTCCGGCGCGGGTGGAGGAGGTGGAAGCGGTCGCCGTTCTGCCTCGGAAGGTGCGTGAAGAGGAGCCCCAAGGTACGATCAAGAGCATCTATCTTGACACTTGCGATCGGCTACATCTATTGGACGGAGTATTTTCTTGAATGACGTTGTTGCGGCTGGGTCCAGCGCAAATTGCAATTGTCATGACTCGCACACCAGCGGTTTTCAAGCACACGGACGCCAACGCGGAAACATCATTTGCCATGCAACACCCTCATGCTTTGGCAATTCCTTCGCACAGATGAAGCAAAGAAGCAAGTATGACAGAAAGTCACAAACAAAACCATATGTTACAAGCTTTTGCTTTGCTTTTTCAGCCCTCCAGGCTTCCATCAACAACTACCCCTCTTCGGCCGAGTCACACATCCGCCAAAGTCACTAGATCTACCCAAGTTGTCAGTGTCCAACGTGGCCTTGGTTCCAGAACTTATTCTTACCTCGCTGCTCCGTGATCTGCGAAACTTCCTCAATCCAAAACAGACTGAAGATTGCCATCACGCTTTAGAAAGGCGCTGTGGCTTCAAAGAAAACTGAAGCCAGTGGCAGATTTTGTTATGCAGCTTGTCTCCTTACAAAATATTTGTCGACCTCTTTTCTGTCCAAGGCTCGCTGGGTTTGCGCATCTTTGGCGACGGTTTCTCTGCCACGTCCTGGGCAGATTGAAGAGAGGCCTTAAAAAAAGGTCTTCGCCCCAAAACCGCTGGGTACAGATGGATGCCTGTTGATCGCCCAAGCTGACTCGCACAGGATGTTAAAAAAAGGTTGAGGAAGGGTGCAGCGTTCCGACTAAAAATAAAGAACGGAGATGACACACGGCATACGTTGGTCTTGAAATCTTTTAGTTACGTAGTATAATCATAATAACTATCAAAGGAAGTTTAGTTAGAAACGTCCGTTTACGGACACATGGATAGCTCAGCTCACAATTGAATAGCTCAGTCAAAAGGTAGCGTAACCAAGTGGGAGCTCAGTCAACCGAAGAGCGCAGTCAATTGACATGAGTAGCTCAGTCAAGAGCTAGCTGAGTCAAGAGGAGGGCACTGTGTGTGGCAGGCGTGGGACAATGTGGAAGTTCGAAAGCAGGGAAGCATGCGAAACACGGCGCCTGCGCAGTGAAAGCCGCGCGGGGTCGTGAAAGCTACTGGTTTGGGACGCTGTGTGCGGATGGTTCCGGCGCGGTTTCGGCGCCACGGAACCATTCCAAGCATGCCAAGAAGCAAGCGCTGCTGCACACATGCACTAAAATCACTAAAGCATCCTCAGGGTAGAATCCCAGTCTTATGGCCACGCGCTTGTTCTTGCGTATGTCAAGAGCATGTGTCAAGAGCAGAACATGGTACACGCAGTCTTTACACTTTACACCAGAAAAAAGGACTTTGTCCACGATGTTTCATCACCATGTCAATGCTTGCCGCGGCAACCCGCAACTCCCCTGCCCTAGCCTTCCGTGCCTTCTGCGCCTTCCTGCACGCAGGCAATTGTGTGGAAAGTGCTGCGAACACAATGAAACTACGACTTCTACCCTGCCATACTTGGCCTCATCTACTTAACGCATCCAAACTTCTGCTGGTGCCACCTTAATTTTTTCTTACCCGTATACATAACGCGTTAAATCGTCTGAGGACCCAGCCCCTACAAAACTGCCGGACTTCCTGCTGGTCAGGGCACAGCCACGCAGCAAAGCCACGCCGCAGCAGTGCCACGCAGCAAAGCCACGCAGCAGTGCCACGCAGCAAAGCCACGCAGCAGTGCCACGCAGCAAAGCCACGCAGCAGAGCTACGCAGCAGTGCCACGCAGCAAAGCCACGCAGCAGCGCCACGCAGCAAAGCCACGCAGCAGAGCTACGCAGCAGTGCCACGCAGCAAAGCCACGCAGCAAAGCCACGCAGCAAAGCCATGCAGCCAAGCCACGCAGCAGTGCCACGCAGCAAAGCCACGCAGCAAAGCCACGCAGCAGTGCCACGCAGCCAAGCCACGCAGCAGTGCCACGCAGCAAAGCCGGGCCATGGTGAGCTGAGGTCAAGAACAACGAGATGCAGGGGCGCAGGGGCGAAAAAAGGAAGTCATCAATTGAGAACTGAAGAAGAAAGGCGGCGGAAAGGTCGAAATACGAACGACAGAG